CCTTCCTTCCTTCCTTCCTTCCTTCCTTCCTTCCTTCCTTCCTTCCTTCCTTCCTTCCTTCCTTCCTTCCTTTCCTTCCATTCTCCTCTCTCCTTAGTGCTTAATCTACCTGTTCTTCTACCTTCTGACTCCTAAGGAAAACTAGGCACTAGATAAGCAGTAGGCTAAGAAAGCTAATCAGTGGCTTCACTTTCTCTGCCTGTAGAAATACTTTGTGAGACTTCCATGGGCCACAAGACTCTTTTTGGAATCACTTTACTGCTTTGTTTGTTCGGAAAGATCCATATCCAGAAATAAAGTTTTAGCTTCTAGTAAAGCAATTTTAGGTATAAAGCTTAGGTCCATATAGGGTTTCAATTACGATTACATCTATAAAGTCCATATTTCCATATCTGGGTACCTTACAGCTTAGCAATGAGATGCTAGGGTGGAGAATAATGATGGGAATTTAAAATGCTTTGAGCAATGCAACTGAAGGTATAGCTCAAGCCCAACCATTTAGCCATGTTTGAAGCCTTCTGGATAACTTTTTAATTATCTCTCTCCCTCCTCTCCCTTTTTCAACCTTCCTCTTTCTCCACATTTGTTATTTCTTCAGCTTAGTTTGGTTTGAAAGAGAAACTCTGTTTTGAAATTATCTGTTTTTGTACCAAATTCTTTTAGCTCTAGGACCTTTGGTAAGAGTTAAAACTCCGCACTGGAAGTCCAGTTAACTTCAGATATGTCAGCTATTCGTTTTTTCCTGGACTGCATAGTACTCAGTGCTCAGCTCAATAACTTGAGGGTTTCACACATTTTAAATTAGTAACTAAAAGCAGAAAAATCGAATTTGTGCCCACAGTGTTTTTCCAATTAGGCCTGACAAGTTGGGAAGTGTGATTGTTTGTGTCCATATTATTCTGAAGTATATAATTAATTGGGCTATATATTTTTCCTTTTCCAATCTACTACTTTTGCCCATGGCCCAGTTTTTATTTGCATGCAAACATCACAGACATATAGCAACCTATTGCTCTTTTCTACTTTCTATTGGAAAACAAATTGCCCAGTCTGTGGCTTTTTCAAATCTCCTTTACAGGATAACGTTGGGGATGGGGGTGGCCGGGGTTCAATATCCTCACTGAATTGTTTTTCTTCTGTTACACTTAGGTGCTTAATAATAGGTTTGTATGAATGTACTGTATGTTAAAAATGAAAGTCTGCAGTTGCCTGGTTGATTGAGGTATTTTTCCCCTCTTCAGAAGTAAGTTTCTGTACTTTGTTCAATTGTATTGTGTAGATCTGCTGAGAGTGTGACACAAATCTGGAAAAGCTTCTTATGCTCTCCTTGTTGTACTGATGAGTGTGTATATGTGTGTGGAAGGAGACTCTGCAACAAGAAATGAAAGTAACAACTGGCACGATCCTAGTCATTTCTTTAAGATAAAAGACTGGTAATGCTTGGAATCCTACACAGAATTAAAAACAAGATGCAGGAACAAATTCAAGCCAGGAACAGAGAGATATAGATGTAGAAGATATAGGTATAAACACATAGAAAGATAAACACACACATATATTACTATGCATCTTTCTTTTAAAAGAGTGGGGGTAGGAAAGGTTGCTTATTTACCCTGGAGCTCTGCCTGATGAAAGAGAGACGATCTACAGAGCTGATATCCAGAAGATCTTCTACGCCATCTGCCAGACCAGAAATTGATGAACGTTTCAGCCAGTTCCCTGTGATATGGAAAGCGTAGGTGTGAGTTTATTTCTGAATCTACTAGTTGAATAATGTACATCTCTCAACTGGTACTAAGGAAGAATAGGTAATAAGTTAAAACTGGGACCATCAATTCCTAACATCTCAACAAAATATTTGAAGGCATATGAAGGAAGGTGGGGAAAAATTCAGACACAGAATAGCATGACAAAGAGTCTTCATGTATAAGGCTTCCTGTATAGAGAGAATCAGTGGAGACCGAGGTTCAAGTCGTGGAAGCTTGCCGGGTGACTTTGGGCCCATCACTGACTCTTTCAGGGCAGATGTTGTGGGACTAAAAAGAAAGGGGGATCCCCACATGCACTGACTTTTGCTCCTGGAGCAAAGGCAGGACATCTAACAATCCAATAATTGAACAACCTAGCGGGAGTTTGAGTTTCTTCCTCAGGGAAATCCGTCTGGAACGGGAGCGGGAGCGCCTTTCAGTGGTCATTCCTGAGTGTGCAGTTGTGCATTCAGAGGTGTCTGGTTCCGACTGGCTGCTGGTGTCACTTGCTGCGCTCTGAGATTTAAACATTTTTCGCCAGAAATCCTTGCGGCCTAGGGCTGCTCCTTGCATTTGTTCATCACTGTGAAGGAATAAATGACATGGCTGGTAAAACTTAGCAGAATGCAAAACAAAAAACAAAAACAGGGTAGCGTCTTTATCTTGCCCTGTGCCTGGGACACTGGAAGTTGCTTGGCCAATTTTAGATAGGAGAATAAGCCAAAAGCTTATCACCATAAAGTGACATACTGAAAAATATCAAGTATCTGATTGTGAGGTAGGACAGTAAGCACTAGGAGGAGAAGATATAATATTTCTAAATAAAGAAATAATCTTCATGTAGTAAATCAGGAAGATGCTGAGATGGTGAGTATAGTTTGCCTAAGGCTAGGCAGAATACAATATTCTACACTGCTGGCAGCGCATAGAGAGCAGACTGTTGAGAAACAACTTCCAGATAATTATTAAGTGAACCTTTTTCTCTAAACTATGATAGCTAAATTTTACATTGCTACAGTGAAAACAAGGCAACCAGCTGATGCAAGTTTAAACAGTGTTGTTTTTGCTTTTTTAGTTATGTCTTTATGCAATCTTCTCATTGTTGATTAAAATAAAATTGATTGATCGATTTACTTACTGCTCAGGAGTTTGCATTGGGCGGCCTGAGATATAGCTACGACATTCATCAGGAGCAGAAGATAGCTGTCCTTTATCAATAACAACACTTCCTACTTCAGATCTATGAAGACAAAGCAGCTAGTCAGAAGAATAGTTACGTATGGTGTTTGTTCATGTTTGTCAGCTCAAGATTGTTTTTTAAAAGTATTTCTAAAATAGAAAGATACGGTGAATTTACTTCTTGCAGTCTCCCATCAGTACTTCATATATCAATCATGAATGGAAACAGCAGTCAAGGGGATGAAAAAATAACCAAATTGATTGTCTAATTTGTAAGCTTGCCTGTTTAATGTAAATTCAGGTATGCATCTCATTAAGATAAATAGGACTTAACTAGCTTGTAATTATATGGGAGTAAATATGTATAGGATTCCATTCTAAAAAAAGGATAGAGTTAAACCACAATTTTCAAGCAGGTTCTTTTCAAGAAAAATTGTGTGTTCTACCAAACTGGAATCTCTCTCCACATTGACAGTTATATGGTAAAAAGGTTTTGCTGCTAAAAATGTGCCTTGGCTTTAAAAATGTGTACAAAGAAGTGTATCCTTGGGGAAATTGTATATAATACAAGATACACATGGAAAAATTTGTATAAAAACTATGGATTTGTAAAGAAAAAAAGTATATTAAAGCTAACTCCACACAATAATGGGCATTAGGAAAAGCTGTGTACAAAATGAAGTTGTTAAGAAAAAAAATTTTTTCCATGTTTAATTGGAAAAAAATTGAGAAAATGGATTGATAACCTAAGTATGTGCCATATTGACGTGGACCAGATCATCCCTCCTCACAGATAAATGACTGAGATATCTACTTAATCCAGCATTCCTATTCTTCTATGTTGCATAAGAACTATATTCTATAGGACAGCTTTTCAGTTGAATAACCTGGATACAATTCTTAACTGTGCCCTAATCCTGTGCATTTGAATGGAATTAAAGCACACTTCACTGCTATCTACAATATATGAATAACATAAGATCATCCCTGGAGAAGCAAGGATTCTGAGAACAAAGAGATGTAGTATTATTCATCTTCTTCCCAAAACTGAGGCTGACAAGTCTGGGTAAGACTGACCTTACTGTATCATTCAAGCATCTTAATGCCTGTTCCAGTCCAGATACATACTTTTTACTCCCTGATGGTTTGGGTTCTTGTTCAGTATTTTCTTCTGTTTTTCTTCCTGGGATCAACTTTTCTGCACTGTCCAAAAGGGCACTAAGAGCTACTCTTCTGAAAACATTTCCATGAGCTTCTTTGATAAACTGTACCAGTTGTCGGATGTCACAGTACAAACCCTAAAGAGAGCAGGATATCGTTTTTTGAAAAAAGGCCAGTATGTTAGGCTGTCAACATACAGACACTTTCTTTCTCTGTTCTTGCTTTCTGAGCAAAACCAGTCCAGGTTTCAGGCCTGCTGTTACCATGAAATGAATTTCAGCAGTCCTAAAATGTCTTTGAAAAGAAAGTTCTAAGAGTTGCCATCTTAAACAACATACTGTAGTAATGACTTTTCCAAGTTAAATTAATGACTAGATGCAAATTCAAAAGGGAATTTTGTTCTCTCGTGTTCTACTGAACTGCACAACAATTTCCAAAATGCACCTGCCAAAATTATTCATTTTTAAATTAATTTTAAGCAATTTATATTTTGCCTTTCTGCTCCTTTTTGAAAGAAGGTGACACAACTCAACAACTTACATTGAGAACAGAGACAGATATTAATTAAAAACCTATGTAATAATTGGATGAAAAGGAAAGTTGCCCTTACCAGATTCTCAGGACTATGGAGCTCGTGTGTAGTAGAGGCACAGCGGGTGATCAGAGATTTGAACATGGCACTGACAATAATGCCTTCAATACTTTGGGCTGTAGACTTGTTGTCCACAGTGGTGAAATTATTTCCAAAACCAGCCTTGTCTACAAAATGCAAAGTAAAACAGCTAAACTGCATGGTTAAATTTCAGAAAACAGTAGTAAGATATAAATGTATACACCTGAACTCAGCAATTCCTGATATGCAGTAGCATTCTTCGTCCAGAGTAGGGATTTGTTACTTTGGAAAACCACAGGGAGGAAGGAGCATTCCCAAAATGAGCATGGCAGTATAAAAAGGGGGTGAAGACAAAGTGCCCATGTGTCATTCAAGTAAAGTAAACAATGAAGTTAAACACATACATACACTTACACAAATTAATACATTCAGGCACATGTCTGCAGGAAAGCTGAATGCTTAGAATGACAACCTATACTTACTGTCAGTGACTGGCTCCATGCAGAATCCTAGCAAAGCATGTAAAAAATCCACCACGTTGTTCAGTGAATCCTTGTTCACATAATCTCTCATTGTCTGACGAAACTGCATTTTATCCAGCTTATACAGCTTTGTAAGACAGTTCTGAGCCTGTTAAGAAAGGTTTTAAGAATGGCAGACTTAGGTTCTGGGGGTGATAACCACCGAGGACCACATTGAATCCAACCTGCTAGTCCCTGTGCGATTAAAAACAGCACCCAATGAACTTCATGAAACAACTACAGAGGATTCAAACAATTGTCTTCCTATGTTTATCAATACAGTGACTCACGGGACCCAAAGCCTCTAGGGGAATAAAGGTTTCAGGAGAATATATAGGATACAAGTATTTAAAGTTGAATACCTGTGCAGTATAATTTAGAAGACAATTACATAGGTAGTTATGTAGCAACAAGGGTGAAGATAAGGAATTAGGTGAGACTGCTGTATTTTTAATGACTGGACACTACAATACACAACAGAGTTTGCTTGTTTCACTTCTTTGTAATGATAGGAGCTGCTCTGATAAGAGTGTGCTGGGATGCTCACTTGTGTCTGTGGTGTCAGGTCCCCTTGGTAACCTGGCCTTTCCTCCTACATCAAAAGGGCCCCTCTTTTGCCCTGTTTATCGCTATTTACATTATTCTAAACATTGACGGTTGCTTTGAAGCTAAAAGGTGCTATAAAAACAATTGTTCACTTCTGTTCAAGGGTTTCTCTAAAGCAGATATGCTTTAAACAGCAGTAATTTCTTCCATATCTGTATTTCTATTATCAAAAATCCACACACACCATAACAACCAGTATGTTGGTATACGGCCAAACATTGTACCCTTAAGCACAGACTCCACAGTTAACAACTAGAGAGCCGTTGAAATCCAGAGGACCCAAACAGTATGGATTTAAAAAGGGGGAGATTTGGAAACAACATACAGTATTTTCCATCCTTCTGCATTTGTATACCTGATGTCTCAGACGATCGCCAGAGAGTCCTCGGTGGCCTTCTCCACAGCCATATGCGCAGCCCAGAGACTTCACAATTTTTATTAGCATTGTCAGAGCCAGCCTATGGGTGCTTACTGGAGTATTTTCATCCTTAGCAGCACAACATTCGGAGAAACCAAAAAGAAAAGAGAGAAAGCTATTCAGTTTAAGATGAGAATAAGAACAATACCAAACTGGTAAATTGGAGCTTAACTCGTTTCTATAGGAGTATACAGACCTTAACAATTACTAAGATAAACAGGAGCTGACACTGACCCTGGTTGCGCTTCCCCTTCTCTTACCATATGGCTCTTTTTCCCTGGCTCCATCTCCCATATAGCTCAATGCTCCTACTTGTTCTCTCTCAGAAAAGCCCAGCCTTTCCTGTTCCATTCAGTTGCCCCCACCTTTCTTCCTGCCACTGCCGAAGGAGATTTCTAGCCAAAATCTACCCAAATAAAATAAAAAAGGAAATATTAAGGGAGGAATGTTAGTTTATGGCAAACCATATATGGTTTGTGTTCAGAAAATCTCAGGCTAAATCCTTGACAACTAGGATCAAGTAGGATGGAAAAGATTTTTGCCTGTAACTATGGAAGAACATTGCCAGGCATAGTAGACAAAGCTGGACTTACAGGAACACACATATTAACAAGCAGTCTGTTCTGACATATGGCTACATATGGCAGCTTCCTAAGAAAGAACTGTTATAGAAATACTGGGGAAAGAAGGAATCAGTGAACAAAACTTTCCTTTGTCTAGCAAACCAGGTTTGCTTGGTAGAGCAGAAAAACCCAGCCAATTCTCCAGTTATTTGACACAATCTTATTCTTGCCCAAGATTTTTTTGGTGCCTAAGGAGGTGATATTATGGGGCTTTTTTTTTCTTTGTGCCTTTGAGTCAGTCTTGGCTCCTGGTGACTGCCTGGACTAGTCCCTGCAGTTTTCTTGGCAAGATTTTGGAAGTGGTTTGCCCTTGCCTCCTTCCCAGGGCTGAGAGAGAGTGACTGACCCAGGGTCATCCAGCTGGTCTCCCAGTTTCTAGCCTGATGCTTTAACACCACACCAGACTGGCTCTCTGTGCTGCCTAACCTGGTATTCCTTCATTCATTCCTTCATTCCTTCATTCATTCGATTCTATTTCATCACAGCTGATCTCCAAACCAACTCTGAGCAACTCACAGTATTAAAAAAAGAAAAAGAAACAAATACAATAAGATAAGATAAATAAAAATACAATAGAAATAAACAAGGCAGAAAATCCAGGCAGTTAACACCCAAACATGTAACACATGCCAAACCCATCTAACAAAGGGTTCCATCCACCCTACGGCAAGGCACCGGAGATCAGCCAAGTCTTCAAGGCCTTCTGGAACACCACCAGAGTGGGAACTACTGAATTCCTCATTAAGGACTCAAATCCTGCTCTTGGTGTTGGTGTTGAAAATTAAAGTTCTACCATTCATTTTCCCTATTGCTCATATAATTTTTTAAAAGCTATATATTTAAGGTTCATGAAATCTGATACAGATAAAGTAGGGGGTCATCTTTAGAAGCATCACAATTTGCTGTAATTTTTTTTAGATTTGGTTAAACCATGGCACTTTACAAATTGAGAGTCATGCCATGTGCTAATTAGGGCTAACCCTATCCGGGCTGCAAAGATCCAGCCAGCCACTAGATGGCAGAAAAAAGAGACTGAATGGTCTTTTCACAGCTACCTGGTAGTCATCTGGATTTTTATAGCCCAGATATTGTAGTCTGACTTTCTTCTACTTCCTGGTAAAAATCATCGTAAGTCCTTCAACAACCCAGTGATGAATCAAGAGTCAAAATGGCATTTTAAGGGGTGAGAACCTTAAGCCTACTTCATCACAGAGGATTCTTCTTCACAATCATGTGGATGTGTTTTCTTCCCATGCTTGAGACAGGAGGAAAATATGTTGATATAAAAAGTGCTGCCTCCACAACCTATCTTTACCCCAAGTCAGCGATGAGACTGCTAAGTGTGGCTATCCTCACCCACAGGGCAGGTTTAGGATAACAATTTCTTTCTCCTACAATCCAGCATCAACTGCTGCAGGGAAAACCAACACCAAACAGCTCCTGATTATATGGTGGGGCAGGGCTGGGTGTTCAAACTATTGTTTTTATTGTTACTTAAGTCTGCCTTACTTTGCAACTGGATTTGTTGTAGATTTCCCTCCCTTCTGACTACTGGTGCAGTACAAACCTATTTCATCCCCACCATTATATCTGCTACTACATCTGTCTAGGCTACATGCTTCCACTTCCACTTGCTACTGGTAGAACAGCAGAACTCTGCTTAGGCTTGCTTATTGGCTGGAGCAGAACTTGCCTGTCCATAACACTGTCCTTGAATATATGTAGCATTTTGGTTCAGTCACACTCAGCAGAGTTTATAGCACAACTGACCTAAATCTAGGTCAGTCTAGATTTAGACTAGATTTAACTAATGGCTATTCCACCATCCACAGTCCAGAGGATACATGTGGTAACTTAAGGCTTCACCCCAGAATGGTCACCCCATGGCTACCAATTAATGCTGGTGTCTCCAACTTTTCTTTTTGAACCCAAAAGCTTAACCATCACACCAAAGCAAAGTTTTGTACAAATTTACTCTTTTCCAGTTTTAAACAGGAGTTAGAAATAGTGTTTGCGCAAAAAAGGAACAAAAACAAACAAAAAAAGAAAACAGCACATTCCAAAACCTAGAATCATGGCTATGAGGAAAGGGTCAGAGAATGCTAAATTAATTATCAAGAAAATAAAAAGGGAATGAAGTGCAGAAGTTTTAGGCAGCAAGCCATCCAGGCTTTGTAGAGGTATTAAGAGTGCGCAGGACTTTGGATGCAATTCCAAAAAAGTGTATCAGAATGCATGGGACTATGAACATAGAAATAAGTTTAACATAGAATAATACAAATTCAACATGCATCATCCTGCTGAAACTTTTATTTTGCATGATAGCTGATCTGGCAGAAATCAGAAGAATATGCAGTTCTTCCCCAAATGTAAGTATTCTTTCCACAAGCTGTTGTTTGTGGCTCCAGTAAAGTTTTACAACTTCATTCATTCATTCATGCTTGCTCGCTTATTTGTTTGTTTGTTTGTTTAATTTGTCACCACCCATCTCATTGGAATGACTCTGGGTGGTTTACAGCAAAGATAAAACTCATTAAAATACAGTATAAAACAATCCTAATAATAAATAACTTCCAAGAAAGATGGAGAGTTGACGAATAACTTGGGGAGCATCATCAGGGCGCTAAGTACCCCCAGGGACAGTTAGAGCTCATGTCGCCCCATGCACCCTGGCACAGTCAGGTCTTTAATCCTTAATACTAATAGAATACTGCTATTACAAAAGGCATACAAGTTTAACTACAAGAAATTCTTCAGGTTAAGATGAGAGTATAAGAGCATCCTTCCAATTTTTGCTTCAGGAAATTAAACCATAAGATCAAGATTTTACATGCATGCCACATACACTGAAATAACTTGGCTTGCTGTTCGATGTGGTGGTCTATCTCATACTCAGTTTCAAATCTTACACATTCATGTGAATACCTGAACAGGGATACTATGCCAACACCTCTGAAGGCAAACTGAGAAATAACAATAAGCCTTAATTCAGAGGCCTTTGGATTCTAGCAGTTTGCAAAGCACAGCATCAGAAGTTAAATCAGGCAATGGAATATCACATCAGTATGAATGCTTTTGTAAAAATGCTTTTAAGAAATGGTTTAGCATAATAGTATTGATTGGCAAATAATGTACCTGTAAGAAGCTTCAACATACCTTGTCTTCCTTTTTATCATTCTTTTCAAAAGATCTTCCTCCACCTTCTCCCCCTCCTCCTCCTCCTCCACCTCCTCCATCTCCTCCACCACCACCTCCTCCTCCAGCAGCACTTCCAACTCCTCCTCCTCCTCCTCCTCCTCCTCCTCCTCCTTCTCCACTGCCATCTCCTGTTCCAGTGACCGGAGCAGTCCCAAATCCAGATGCTGAGGTAGTCAAAGCCCCCTTGAGTTGAAAGGAAGTCTCGCTTTGTCTCTTCTCATTGGTTTCATTCTCTTTATTCTCACTTTTCCTTCTGACTTTCTCCACACAGGGCACCACACCAAGCTGAAGCAGGCATTCCACAATATTGAGGGCCACATCACAGATTCGGGAGCTGATGTCATGATTCAGGACCAAATAAACTGCTTTAAGAACCACCTTGAAAGAGGAAAAGTTAGATATTGCAGGCAGCTCTACATTCAGGTACGGTTTGCAAAAACCTGACTGTAGCTCACAAAAGAAATAGTCTAAGTATAATATCCTACAACAAGGTGACTTGTTCAGTTATAGCATTAGCATAATACCAAGTGAACCAAAATATGTGTACACCATTTATATAAGCCACCCTGAGCACAATCCAGATCAATTTTCTGGTAGCAGTACTTTTTAGGTGATCTAAAACAAACCTGCCTTTGATAGAAAGTGGCTTCTTGCAGCAATTGCTGAAAGAATGCAAAGGTTGTCTGGAATCAGAAAAAAAATTGGTTTCGTAGAATCATAGATTTTCAAAGGTCATTTAGGCCATCAAGTCCCTGCTCTGAAAGATGGCTGTCTGAACACGTCCAGTCAAAGGGAGCTTGCCACTCCCTTGGTCACTGCTTCCACTGTCAGATTCTTCCAGTATTTGCCTTCCTGTGTTTTGAGACTACAGTATTATTCTGGGGCATACAATCTGGGACAATTGACCCTCTTTCAGATATTTGAAAACTACTCTCATATTCCCATGTAGTTGTTTTTTGTCAAGACTGAACATATCCAGTAGGACTTTGGATCCAGCGCTTTGGATTCAGTCTCCAACAGGTGCTTTGGAAGACATGGGAGTCCTGAAAGCATTGCACAGCTCAAGTAGCAATTCCTTCAATCTCCTTGTAAACCTGAGTTTGAACTCTACAAGCATTCTTTCCCTGGTTAGGATTCTCCATCAGTCTTGAATTGAAATTCTGCTCCTCCAACCAGCTCTTCATAGTGGCCTGATGGAACGCATATCCTATTCTCACAGAAGACTGACCCCAAATAGGGTTGAATTGTTCCACTTTCTCTTTGTTAGCTTTTACCTTTTTCTCATCCAACTGGTATACTGTTCTTTTATTGTGAACATATGGTTCATGGGGTCACGAAGAGTCGGACACGACTTAACGACTAAACAACAAAAAATGAAAAATCTCTCTTTTTCTCCTCTGCATAATTCATTAGCCTTGTGATATTTTGTTATATCACATAATTTGTTCAGTCTTGTGATATTTTGTATATATCATGTAATTCATTAGCCATTGTGATATTTTGGTTTTCTTGCACCAGCTTCTCAGATCCAAGCTACTTTTATGTACTCTTTCTTGATGACTGTCCCATTTTTCACCTCATACACCTGTCCTTTTGATTGTGCAGCCTGTTTGGCTTCTTTTGCTGCATTCCACTTTTTTCCCCAGTAGGAACTGTTTGTTACTGCACTTTTTTGGGAACTTCGACACATCTTTGGCTCCTTTTCCCATTAGCTTCTCCTGCTGCAGGATCCTAGTTATCATTGTTCTGATAACTGTCTAACTATGCTGAGCTTTAGTGCTCTTAAAATCAAGAAAGCTAGCATTCCATAGACACCCCAGGGTTCCTACTATGTCTACTCCATCTATTTAGTCGTCCTAATACGTTACAATCAAGTGAAGTATAGGTGATCCTCTTATGTTTTCCTCCACCATCTGAAGGAGAACATCTTCAAGATAAGCCAAGAAGTTCCTGAAAGGTCCATGTTTGGCAGAGTTTGTCCCTGAACATAGGTTGGCATAATTAAAATCCTCCAGGTTTGACAGGTATTCATCTCTGTCCGAAGTATCTCACCTCTCCTTCTCTTTCAATACCCTGCAAAAACATCAAGATCTTTTTCCTAGCATTTTGCAGCTGGTACCTAAGGGATGCCAACATTTTAACATAAAGTCTCCCCCACTGAAAAGGAACAGTTTGAGTATCCTTCCAATGTAATTAAAGGTTCTTCATGCATAGAAGTTTAAAAATCAGCCCCTTCCCCTAAGACAGCAATTTCATATAAGCATTTCATAGAGTCTGAAAACAACCTAACAGGCCTGCTGGTTAGTCAGTGGGACACTAAACCTTATACTTCCAAGTCCACTGAGAAACAGGAAAATGAACTTCTTGGTTGGCATTTTTAACCTACTCCATCCTAGAGGTACAGAATGGGTAACAAATTTTGTGTGAAAAAATATAAGACACAACAAAGGACAAAAGAAAATATGTGACTTATACTAAAGGAAGATCATGTTTTCCATATAATAAACTTTCCGTTTTTAATCAGAACTTTGTATAGGAACCTGGTTTTGGCTCTTTTTACTGAGAATTGGTTATATATTTTACTTTACTATTAATTGACTGGAATGACCTTTATGCAGGGCTGAAATGGAACAAGGCTGAATACTCAGGGGACTTGATGTCCATTATACAACAACTAGCATAGAAAGGAATATTCTTTTTTCTTGATAATTACCGAAAGATCCAACATGCCATTCTTGTGGACAAAGTTGCTGGTCCCATCTATGTGTTCTGTATCTTCCAGGCAACTATAGTTGATGCAAGAATCTGTCAGACTTCGAGGGAGATTGGCACATGCCAGGGGCTCATGGGGCATTTCTGGTATGGGCACCTGGTTGCAGAGCTTGCGCATGTGTTCACTGAAGAAGTCAGCATAGCCCACATTGAAAGAGGCCAGTGTGGTATTGAAGGTGGCCACTGTGATGGTGGAAATTTGGGAACGTACTGCAAGAAAGTATCACAGATATTATTAGTTCGTTGGACAGAGCACTTAATATGGATGTGTAAGCTGATTCATTTAAACATGCATATTCTGCTTTGGAATGTTACAACTACTACTGGCAACTAAGTATGTGTGTAACCACCTACAAGTAGAACTGAATAGAGGAAAGAGAAATCTACTGCTCCATTCTGGAAACCTTGTAAGAACTGGCAACATTTGGGGAAATATTAGTTGTTCATAAAAATGTAAGAGTTCAACAATAGGTTATCTTTATCTAATTCCTCCTTTACCAACACTGCCCTGTTGTGATGTACACTCTAAGAAGGCTTGCATACAGTTGGACAGTTGATATAAGCACAAGTCTTTAAAAAATCCTGGGTAACTCAAAAGTTTGTGACTTCTCATAGGAGGAACGTGAATTAATGTACCCTAATTCTAATTCTAACAAGTTGTCATCTGGGCTTCTTCAAGAGCTCTGTGCTGGAAAGTCACTTGCTCAGTGCTTTTGAATATCACCTCACCATGGCTGTTGGAGTGGTCTGGCAGGTCAGTAACCAAAGTGTGGTGGGAATGGGAATGCCGAGCACTCAGACTCTCCATCTCGGTAGCTGTATCGGAACTGCCCCGCCTAGTAAATCTCCCTGGAGTAGAGAAAAGACATGCATTGTGCTGTGGGTGCTGCAACATCATTTACTCAGGAAACATTTGCAAACTGCATAAAAATCCCCATTGACTAAAGAGCTTTGAATGAGGCACTGTTTCTTTCTTTCTTTTTTTTTTAAATCAGGTCAGCAGTCAGTTGGTTGAAGAGATGGGTAAGCAAAGGTGGCAAAATCATTTACTGTGAACTGGGTTCAATAGGGCCAGTTATAAAAACTATGGGGTTTCTTTCTGTGATGGAATAGAATTATGAAGGCCAAGCTCAGGGAGATAAACATTTTCTTAGCTCGTGAGAACTGCATGGGAGGAACAAGAGGATGAGACTGGCACCTCCCTGAGGAATTCACACTGTTGTGGCTGGAGGGCTTTTGGGACTGGGGTTTTAGTCTGGGAAAATTCTTGCTAGAGGTTGTAGCTAATAAACATAGCTGGATTGAATTGGCATTGTCTCTTGGAGTTCCTTGGGCTAGGCCTGACACTTTCCCTTATTCAGTCCTTGAAGTGTCCAGCACTTATCAGTGGGTAGGGGTAGAGGCAAGGGAGGATTATTTGGCCTCGGAGTCCTGCTCAAACACTAGCTGATTTTTTATTCTAACACATCAATTTCATGGCTCACAGGATTTTGTTTTGTTTTTTGGTGGGAGTTTGTGTGCCTTATTTTCTTTTCATGGATCACAATTCTTAAAAGTACTGGGGTGAGCAGCACCAAAAGCTGGAAATGACTGGGCCTCTCCACATCAGGGAGGCCCTAGAAGTGGCAATGGAACTGCGGTAAAGAGAATAGCCACTGCATTCGGTACTACAAAGCGTATGAATCAGTGGGAAAGCACTATCATAAAAGATGTGAAAATTCCTCTCCCCTTTCCAGTAAGATGAAGAGACCAGGAAAATGAGTATCTTACTTGTAATACACAGTGCTTGTTAGGTAACTTAAGAGCTTTAGGAATTGGATTAGAACAGATGAGCTGGAAACAATCTGCTTCCAGTGGGCAGAAAATAATTAATTCTTGCATAATTATCAAGACCAAGCAAACCACAGATATGTAAGATTAAAATAAAAATTTGCATAAGTAATAGCATATAACAAATGCCATTCCTACAAGATTAGATCAACAGGATGTTACACTGGGTGGCATTAAATGTTGTGAATGGACTTCTAACTGCAGAATGAGATTTTCCTTCAATCTTCTCCCTCTTTCACTCGTTTGTTCCTCTTTCCGCCTCCAATCTGGTCTGGTGATCCCTTAACTCTCCAGAGGAGATTGGAGGATATGTGAACCGCACAAATAGGAAAGAAGAATTCTTTTCACTGTCCAATGTTGTTAACAGTAGATGTGCAGCATTGTGTGCACTCCGTGATTATAGGCAACTGATCTAGCAATCTGGTGAAGTCCACCACCAGTAGAAAACTCTGGTTTATCAGGAAAGTTACTTGTTCTCAGTAATGTCCTCTCATTCACCTAGGATAGTGGTTTGCCACCCTCCTCTCTCAATGCCACGCCTGTCTTCACCAATCCCAGAAAAGCTGCCAAAAGAGAATGTGCTTCGAGTAGGTGATACATCCAAATGGTCTTCGTGGAGCAGGAAGGGCACTCCCGTTCGTCGTTGTCTTTTCTTCCCTGTGTGGTGGAAAGGAATAGAGCCCTTGCGCTCCCGATCCTCCTTGCGGCTCTTGAACTGCAGGAAAAATATAGGAAGAAATCTATGCAGGACAACTCATAAGGGAATGGCAGAAAGCATGATGAAAGAATTCAGGGGATAACTCTTCTCTAAGGCTCAGTTTCTTGAAACTAGCCTGAAATTCATTTCCTTTTTCTTTGGGCCTATACTGTTTTACCTAACCCGAGTAGAGGTAGGCAACATTTAGGTGGCCAAGAGACACAATCTTTTTTTTTTTTTTTCCAGAAAGCTGAAGCCCCCAAAGCAATAGGCTACATCACAGCTATTAACAGTATTGAGTTTCTCTGAAAAGTTTGGTATTTGTCATTTTGGAATTACAAAAGCCTCTTTCATTATGCGTTTTTCTACTTCCAAAGGGCTGGATACAGTGGTAATCCGGGGATATGGGGCTTCAGGCAGCTCTGAGGCCACAATTTGCCCAATCCTGGTTTAAAGTGACCAAACTAGGAAAGGGTATATGTAGCATTAATAACAACATTACAAGTGAACTTTAGCTCATTAGAAATAGTTGAGTTTTAGTCTGATACACTGATGGAGAGGGGGTTTGGGATACAGATGTTGTTGTCGTATAAAGAAGTGACCGTGGCCTTGCAGTGGAATATGTGCTTGCTATACCTAGTTCCAGCTCTGACCAAGACAGAGCTGGTGCCAATAAGACTGGAAAATATTAGACTAGGTGTATCAGGAGTTTGACTCAACAACTGGTAACTAGTTAGGTATGTGTAAAATGAGTGCACAGAACCTTTTATCACATAAGAAAATAGTGTGATTTTCTTTATATTGCATGGATATGAGAGAATAATTCCACTGTGTCTCAAAGTGACTTCTTCCTCTGGAGCACTCTTAAATATCCAGTTTCATTTTGGCATCTTTGTGCTGTCACAAATCATTATTAAAATATACTTGAGAACATTCAAAAGACTGTGTGACAAGCTAGACAAAACACAGCAGTTACACTTAACAATCTTCCAACTTTTTCTTAATGAAAAGCAGCCTCAAGAAAAAAACAGGGTCCTCTCTCACTGCGGGTTATTTTGCTATTTAAAAACCTCTCTCCCCAGGTTGTTCTTCCGTCCTACCAGCTGCAGGAACAGAATGTTGAAGGTGATTTGATCAGAAAAATTCACAATTTCAGTTGCTTTTGGTTTGCTCTGCTTCTTTAAATGGAAGATTTTTCCGTGGTTTCCCAGTAGATTTTTCAAAATGAAAAGCAGTGTGTATACTCTCATTTAGCTTTAATCAGATCCAGCATAGGGGTCCTCCTGAGCTTTAGCAAGAAGTCTGCTACCCCTTCCTGCACACAGACCGTACCAGGCCATAGATCTTAATTGTACCCCATTGCCAATGGAGCAACAGCAAGGATAAGACTAAATCCAGCTGCAATACTAAATCTCTTCCATATAGTAAAATGCAATCAGTATGTTATTAAGGGATCACACATGGAATTTAAAGCATCATAGTTTAATTTACCTTTTTAAATATATTCATTCCCAAATCAGAGGAGAGATCTGGAACTGCTGGTCTCCGCAGGTTAGTTAGGGATACTTTGGCAAAAGCTTCCGTACTTAATGATTTTTCTTCCTCATTGCATTTCATTGTGAGATCCTACACTTCCGAAGAAAGACAAGGAACACACAAGCCTGTAGAATGACTAGGAAAGCAGCTACTATTTTTTCCTTCTTACAAACATTGTCAGTGTTTGTTCCCTTTGGAAGACAGAGAATTGGAACCTTGTGGTGGTGCCTGAACTGTAATGTTTTGAATTCGAATAGCTGTCCATATTCCAGATTTTTTCTCTATAGTCTATCAGTGTTCTATAGAAAGTACATAACAGTCTTCACTGGCTACTTTGGGGTCCCTATTTCAGATTTTTTTTCCTTGAAAGATTTGTACCTCTGTAGACTTCAAGATTTAACCAAGTTTGCTACTGTTCCTAACTACCTGCTTATCTGCGCTTCTCTCTCTCTCTCTCTCTCTCTCTCTCTCTCTGATGAAATGTTCTCCACTGATTTCTCATGATTGTTAGTACAGAAAAATACTAACCAATACTTCCTCTGCTTCCCTACAAATATCAGTCATACTACTATATGCATAAAGTTCTCCTCTATCTAGAACTTCAACCATAATAAATGAGTACCTTGTTCAGTAATATTGAATTAAAACTGAACAAAGCTGAACATTACTTGTTCAGTAATATTGAATTAAAACTAAATCTTAGCTTGCAACTAAACTTTTGACCCGGTCCTAAGATTTAAAACTGAAAATATTAGCTACCCAAATGCCTGATCTTACCTGTGTTTTGTGAGTATTGACTAGTGAGGGAGTGGCAGCCACCATAGAACTACTGCGTGGCCTTGGCAATGGTGGGATTTCTGGGTCAAGTGATTTCTCTGGCTTTTCTTCTAACATGTGGCGCAGCCTCTGGAGGTAATACATCAAGGACCATTGCGTGCCTTCCTCGGACCAGTGGGGCTGAAGCAGGCATCGTAATACAGCAACATCAAAGTAAGTGGCGTAGCGGGACTTTTGGCATGGTGGGATCACCAAAGACACCCTGTTACAAAGAGTAAAAAGAAGTGCTAGGGACAGTAGAGCATACAGACATTAATAATCAACTGATGAGCCAAGAGACTATCAAGTTGTGGCCCCCCAGCTAACAATCTGTTTCTTCATCCTGGAGAGCGTTGTTAACGTCAGCATGAACTTAATAGACAAGCCCCAAATGTAGCATATTATGTGACCAGAAAAGTGCAATTCTACAATTCTAAAAATAATTCTTATTTAGAAAAAGGGAACACGAATTATTTAACATGAAATGTAGCTTTTATTCCAAACTTAGAAGAGTGAAGAAGAATTAAAGGGGCCCAGTTGATATTGAGCATGGGTTGAAGAACTCAGCATCACTGGGAAGGATTCAGAAGGAAGAAACAGCCTGTCTTTGGATTCCATGAAAACCTGCCCCATTTTCCTGCCATCTCCATTGGGCACACATTTCAGGCACCCCCTTGACATCTGTGATAATTACATTAATCAAGTTTCAAGCAGAAGGTCTTCATGATACTCTGGAAGGTGCTAGACTATAAATCATACTTGAAAACTGAGTGACCAATCACAACCAAAGGACTGATCTTAAATTTACACATGAATACACTCTACGCATATCTTAAATTGCCAAAGAATTTTTGGCTTTTTAGGACTTCAGTCCCATGGGCTGTTTTGGGGGGGAGGGGTAACATCCCACTAAAATATGATTCATAAGATTGGGTTATTGTTGAGTATAAACCGGATGAGACAGGCCACACCATATAACACCTAAGCTCACAATTTTTTAAAATATACAATGTATAAAACACAAGAATTAAAACACTTTACACTGAAATGTTAAAATAATAGCAGCAGCCATCAGAGTATTTTAAGGATTCTAAGCAACACATGTATTTAAAATTAAGTCAGTAACTGAGTAAAATATGAACAAATAAAACTGTCTTTGGCTGGTGGCAAAGAGAGAATAACGTTGTATCAGAAGGATCATTTCAGAGGTAGGGGACAGCCACTGAAAAGGGTCAGTCCTGCATAGCTGCTTGCTACATCTCAGCATTGGAGGGTGCCTGAATAGGGCTCAGAAGTTTATCCTAGGATTCACTGAGGAACATTTGGGAAAAGACATTCCTTCAGATATCATGGCCCCAAGTTGAGAAGGGCTTTATAGATTAAAACCTGTTCCTTGATCTCAGATTGGAAACCAACTGGGAGCCAGTGAAAATAAAACCGGCTCAATTGCAGTCAGAATGTGTACTCTCCAGACCGTATTCAAGGGCAGAGGCTGGACAATCAACTCTCAGAGATGTTTTTCTTGCAATGAATAGGAGGCTAAAGTCTATAGCCTTCCAACAGTAGGACTCTATTCTATAATTATATTCCCTGAAGCAAGAGATATCCATTTGTATCAGTGCCATTAATTCTAGGCATTCCTTCTTCTAGGCATGTGTGCCTGACAACTGATTAATCATCCACATCTTTATAAAGTGTTTCATCAATTCAATTGATGCTTTATTGGTGCTTCAATGCTTCTCCAACCAGTTAATTGATGACTGCTTTCAGTGCTGTTTGTGTGAGCTATCTAATATATATCTAATGAACTTTCTACAAAAGCCTTGCTGAGCATAAACATATACTTTCAAGAGCATTTATACTCTAACAAGGATCCTCCAAGTGCTGCCATAATCTAGTTAGGTTTCATCTGTTTCAACTGGAATTGTACACCTATATCATGTGAAGAATACCATAGAAGTATAGGTTTGGAAGAAAATTCAGAGGTCATGTAATTCAACCCTCTGCTTTGATATATTAATGTTCAGATATAAACTCCTTATTGCATCAGGCAGACAGCTAGTTTGGTGTAGTGGTTAAGGCACCAGGGTAGAAACTGGGAGACGGTGAGTTCTAGTCCCGCCTTAAGCACGAAGCCAGCTGGGTGACCCTGGGCTAATCACTCCCTCTCAGCCGTAAGGAAACAGGCAATGGTGAACCACTTCTGAAAAACTTTGCCAAGAAAACTGCAGGGACTAGTCCAGGCAGTTGCCAGGAGTCAACGCTGACTCGAAGGCACAAAAAAAAAAAAAGACAAGTTAGCTGACATTCATTACAAATAATTAAGATTCTCAGTCAACAATACAGTATCATTTACATATATTGTAAAAGTATTCATACATTTATGTCCCAAGCCAACA